ATATATTACTAAAATTAATTTGTGATCAAAAATTACTTTTGCATTTAGTGAATCATTTTCTATTATTGTCAATGATAATTCATATCTCTAAATTAATTTTGGGAATTCTTAATCAGACTTGTAATTCTATTTGGCAGTTTTAAACAAATGTTCTTTGATGTAAGTATCAGGACTATGGAAATTGGCAACGGAGAGTGCATCCAACAAATGCATACCTGACAATCTAGAAATGAGTAATTGATTGATACCAATTTCGCCTCTGTATATTAATGTATGCAAATCATTATCATTCAACACCTATCTTTATTATTATATCATAATTTAAATATATATAAATATTTGTAAAATAATATTATTTTTATAGTTTGAAGTATATGTACCTCATTAATCCTACAAATAGAATTGGATCTATATACAATATGAATAACTTGGCCATTTAAATTTAAATATTGATTTTATTTATAGAAATAAATTGAACAAGACTGAATGCCTCACGATTATTTGGTTTATATTCTATCAAAGATTGATTCTTTAACATCCATTCTAAGTCTTCCATCATCTTTGGATCCTCTTCCTGATTAAAATTATCCTAGTACAATGACTTTACTGGATTATTAATAATTTGGAACAGCACTCATTTGATAGCCTTTCTCTTTGTAATTGTTAATAAGTTCTAAATAAATTAAATTTAATAAAATATACCAATTGCTTGATCAGCAGATTATTAATTCGAAAATGTAATGGTGGCTTATTTATTATTAATCTATATTACTAAAATTTCTTACTTATATTCCTAATATATTAGAATCATCATTTATTAATTATTTTAATTCATTCTAAGTAGATCCTTCTCTTATATTCCTAATAAATATAGGAAATGATCCAGTTGATTTTGGTTGTTATTAATGTTGTTATTATTAGTCTAAAATATAATGATGAATATCAACATACCTTTTCTGCTAATATTCAGAATACCATTCTTTTTTGGTTATTATTGATGTACTTAAACATTGGCTTAATATTGTTGATGACCATGATTCTGAATTTTAATTACCTATTTTCTTATATCCTTCTTCATTATTTAGGACGAGTACATTTTTCCATTCTCTTCATCTGATTCTTATTTCGACTTTGATGCTGAATGTTAGGAAGGTTTATACTCTTATTAACGATCTCTTATGATGTTTATACTTTTAGAAAATATTTGATTTTTTTTCATATTAAATATATATATATTTAAGAAATAATCTCTTATTCAAATTACAAACATAATAAATATTAATTATCATTGCTTTTATTCATAAAAATGATCACTTTGAGATAGAGGCTGCTAAATGTTTAATAGCCTCTGCTATTGAAATGCAATTTTACACTATTTTCAAATTAAACATTTTATTGTTCTAAATACGAACATCATCAAATTAATTCACATATTGTAGATAATGTTATAAATGTAGTAATTCCTATTAAATAATAAAGTTTATTTATACTTTGTCATTCTTATCATCAAGATAAGGTATGATTGGTATCCCATTATCAATTTAAAAGGCAAATGAGTATGCTGAATTATCCACTAAAATAATATCTTTCATATTCCTATTAAGAATTCTTAAGTCTTTAATGTGACAATTATTTGATATTTGGATACAATCATCTCGAAACAATCTATAAGATACAAGATTATGTTCTGGATCTAAATAATCAATAATTTTGTTCGCATAATCTGGATTTGATGCAGTGAAAATTATGATTTCATATTCTTTAGCCATATTCTTTAAGAATTATTAGGCATGAGGTCTTATGCTTATTCCAACCTAAATTTGAAATATGATATACCTAATAGGTTTTTTCATTATAAACTACTGGAATGAAAAAATCACTTTTTAAACAACTAAATTCATTACAATGTACTAATGTTTCATCTAAATCTATTATCAATGTCTTTTATATTTCTTAAATTTATTAAATTATATTACTTAATTAAGGCTTAATTTTAGTAGAAAAAGTATATTGTTATGGGCAAACTATGAATTTTGATTTTTATAGATTGTTGTATAATTGAGAGAAATGACTAATATACATTTAAGCCATAAAAGAGTCTTTCAAAGATCCCATTAGATATCCAATCAAATTATGCATATAGTATTAATAATTTTAAAAGGAGATTGCTAAAATATTGAATAAAATTAATATTTACTTTATTCACTCGATAGAGCTTCTTATTATATTATAGTTTCAATTGATGAAATGATTTCATCTTTCTCATGTAAATAGGGTAAAGTCTATCCTATTGAGTTTTCTGGTTTTTTTTAAGTTTTACATTTCATATTAATCTATTTTCTACTGACAGATGTTTTAAGATCTCTAAGAACATGGCTCTTTCGTTTCTTAATTTTTTTATTTGTTTCAATTGATATCTTTTGTTTTTCTACTGAAATACTGAAAATTATTATAATCAAATACAATGATGAAGTTTAAGAAATACAAGTTAAATTATCATCTAATAAAGGACAGATTTGAGTAAATGATTATGATTTAATCATCTCTGTTCTCTTTTTGGACAAATGAGATTTTGATGATAGATCTTCAATTTTTGATAAAGATTATTCTTAGAACTTCTTATAATTTTCTAATTAAACTTCTTCATTTTCTTATTAACTTTCTTATGAAATCAATGCAATATCATACTTTTAACAGTCAGGCCACAGTGAGATGCTTTTATTTAGGGGACTTGGTTTTTTTTTTCGATTCTCAAAATGTTTTAAAGAACATAATTTTCTTATGATTAGAGATAAGTTATCTGATTTTGTTGAATAAGCTTTTCCTTGTGTAGAGTATCAGTTTCAAATTTACACAACAGTAGTTCAACTTTTTCATTTTTTTTCATAATGTATTATTAAATAATTTACGTATAAGAGATTAAAAAATGAAATTGAATAGATGTAAATGAAACGGGGTACTAAGATTAAAATTAAATATATTATACACTATCATATTGTTAGTTAATTTCTCTTGAATATGATATAATAAATTCTAAATAGTTGATTGAACAATTTAAAAAAATGATAATAAACTTAGTGAATTTTCAATTTCCTTCTTCTTTAGTTGGTAATCCTCCTTTCCTAATCCAGCGTATTCTTTTTCCATCTTACCATTCTCCTTCCTTTTCAACTTTTGATGAGCCAATATAAATTCCTATACCATTTTATTTTCCATTTGCCCATAATCCTTTATACATCTAAACTACATAAAATAGACAATTACCCTTCCATCAGGCCATTAAAATTCTCCATAGCCATGCTTTTTATCATCTTTATATTCCCCTTCATATTTTCTACCATCCAACCATGTAAAAACCTTAATATAATTTAAATGTTTTACTCCTTTTCCATCCATTTTATTATTCTTCCATTCCCCAACGTATTTTCTGTTGTCTTCCCATTAATATTCTCCTTTACCATGTATATTATTTTAATCAAATTCTCCAATATATATAGAGCCATCAGCCCATTTAAAAGTTCCTTTGCCATGTTTTTTACCATTTTTATATTATCCTTCATAACTAGAGCCATCTGGCCATATTTCTTTACCATTGCCATTTTATTTATCATCTTCCCAATATCCCACATACTAAGCTCCATCCATATGTATATATTTACCCTATTATATTGATTCACATTCTTACAAATCCATGAGCTTTATCATTTCTCCATTCTCCCTCATATTTGTCTCCATCAGTGTGAATCAATCTTCCCTTGCCACAAGCAACATTCTAATACCAATATCCTTCATATATTGATCCATCTTGCCAAATTTATGTTCCTCTTCCATGTCTCAGTCTAAAATTACTTTCAAATTTAAACTTACCCATTCTTCCATTATCCTTTATAAACACTACCCCCATCTAATTCATAAGGTTCTAAAAATGGTAATTCTTTAAATTCATCCTTGTCCTAATCATACACAAAGGATTCAATTTGACTTAAAACCTAACTTAAATAATTTTTAATACTTATTTAGTTTTAGCAGTCAAATAATCTGGCATTCTGTCTAGTTTCTTATATTTTTCACTTGGAGCATGAATTCTATTTAAATCAACTTAATTTTAATAAATTTCTTCTTTGGGTTCTTAAGCAATTCTTTTATTTTATGAATTTTTATTATTATTATTGTTCTTTCCCTTACTTGAACCATTTTAAGATGTTTTATTCCCAATTTTGTCTTGTTCCTATATTTTTTTGACTTTCTTTCTAACTATATGACCTCTACAATGAGCTTGTTTTGCATATCAAAAATACCTTAAATTATTATAGCTTTTTTATTAAGTATATCTGAATTTGCTTACTTATCTGAGATATTTTAACCTATTTCTATCTATACATTTCTTTCCATAACTTATCCACCACCATTACAACAATTTCCCATTTCTATACTGTTATCTGAAAATATTTGATTTAATAAAATTAATGAATTGGCATCAAATAAAAAAATTATAAAAACTAAGTCATAATAAAATTCATTAAATGAATTCTCAAACTATTTTATTTTTAAATTAAATTAAATTAGTAAATAAATACATTAAAGAGATTGTTAATAAAGTAATTTTAATCTCATGAACCAATGATTTTAAGTTATTTATATATATATAAATAATATATAAAAGGATTTTTTAAATAATAAAAATAAACAAGAACAATTAAAATTAATTTATACAAAAAAACTGATCGATTTTTATATAAAATATATAAACTCAATTCATAAGTAATTTTGTAAAACAATAATCAAAAACTAGATAATATATTGATATATAAAAGCATTATTTTATTTAGATATAATATTCATATTAAATTAATTTAATATATTTGTAAATTATTATTACTGAATAATATTTTAATATCTATTAATATGAAATTAGAAGATAATAGTGCAATATTAATAATTGTAGATTTTTATTTATTTATTATTAATTTTATAATAATCTGCAAAATTCATAAACATGTGTATCATTGTTAAATTTCAGGTTTGTATTAGTTGATACAATTTTAATATAAGACCTTGATCTCTTTTATCTAAATGAGATCATCCATTTATAATTTAAAAGGTTCATATTATTATTAATGAGGATTAATAGAAATAGTGGGTCCTAATTTAAATTAAATATCTAACCTCCTCCATAAATTTCTTATAAAATATGCCATATAGGAGCAGTGATCATATGAAAATGTTAACCTTCTTTTTTTTATTATACAATCTACTAATCTTTATCTAATAATAAATAATTAGTTATTTCTCCAGGAGGAGGATAACCAAATAAACTATTTCTTTGTAAAATCTACTTTGAATTATAAAGATAGGCTTGCCATTTCTTTAACCATTCTTCATGTACAACAAATATTCTGTCATATCCTTGAAGATTTTCATATTTAATTATTAGTTGTCTTTCTAATTTCCTTCTTCTACTCATTTATTATGCATATTCTAAACAAGTACTACAAGTTTTGATATTCTTTTCAATAATTGGACCTCCTCCATATTTTTCTATTAAAAATTCACAAACAGCTTTTGGAATAATGATTGATGTGAGTTACAATTATTTATAGGCAGAACTCTCCTAGATGTAAGCAGGAGAATTAGAATTTTATACTTCTCCTATAGTAATGAAACTTGTATTAGTATCTAATTAAGAATTGTATTAAGCTGATTTAGCATTCTTAATATAAATATATTTATTACTTCATATTCTATTCTAAAATCCCAATAATCTGGTTTTAAGAGATTATGAGGACAAATTAAATGGGATGTTATAATTGAAGGTGGTTTTGCAAGATGTAAAAATTATTCAAACCAGAAATGTGGTAAATAGCATAATTCTTCATCTTTCAATAATAATTCTTAATTTTTTATCATATTATGTTAATTTTATAGGTTTTTTCGAAGACTTGCTTTAAATAGATCTATTTAATTATCAACCTTTTCATAAAATAATAATAAAGCTTCACATTCTTCTACATATTTTTATGAAACTATTTCTATAATTTCATCTTTAATGCTAAGAAATTGTTAATTTTGACATTTTAATATAGTTTCAAAATGATCACCTCCTTAATCGTGTAAATGTACTATTATACCAAAAAGTCTATAATTCTATTCACTATCCAACTATTATTTATTTTAAATGAAATCATACATTAAAATATTCTTAAAAATTATGATCTTTAATTGGAAATGAAACATGTTTAGTATCTTTTTAAGTTTTATTCAAGAATCTTTGTAAATGAATACATAATAAATTGGATTATTATTAAAAACTATATTGTCTTTTACCTGATCTTGCACCACAACTACAAAGTGTTAATGAATCGATCACTGGTTCATAAAAATAATCAAGACACTCTTATAACGAGATAGACTATTTTTGATTATGGACTAATTATTTAAAGAATCCTTGTTGCTTTATTTCTGGAAGCTCTAGGGATAACGCTGAAAATTATTCAACAGACTTTGTAATTTTCTTACAATTCAAACATTGTAGGTTAGAAATAAGCTCTCCAGAGAATATACTTTGAATAAAAGAATATTCCATATATTAACTAGGATCAGCACTAACTACTTTTTAGAGTGTACATTATGTTCCAATCATGTCCTAAAGGTTGTTTTGTGTATATCAAGTTACTTTTAAAGTATCCTTTCAAATTTGAGAATTTGAATTCTTCATTTAAAAAGTTGATAACTGTCTTAAAAGCATCCTAATTAAAATAATAATAATAAATACATAAGCATCCTTTCTTGAATACCCAATAATTTTTGAGTCAATTTGAGCAAGATTTTTTATAACTTTAGAAGGATTTATGATTCTATATTGATGTTATGAATAAATAGAGGCCATGGCACTTAATTCTCTAAGAATTTATTTACGATTAGATTTCAAACAATATTCATTTATTTCATATTCAGAATTTATCTTTTGAAGTATTTACTAAATTACAGGATAATTTAGTAATATTTATAAAACACAATTCAAATGGCTATTATTACAGATATTTAACATTCCTGCATGTTGAACATTTTATTGATTTTTAAATTGTATATTTTGAGGTTCTTACTTATAAAAGAATTTGTGATATTCCATTCGTATTTTTTAAGGATTAATAATTTCTTCAATATATTGATCTTCTTCACTTTATAAAGTTTGCTCAAAATCATAAATTTCTATTTTACACATCAGACATGCAATTAAATTTGAGTGAATATTAATTATCACACAATGTTCAGGACTATTTACTTATTATGGAATTAATATTTTTACATCTTAAATGCTCAGCAGAACATATTTTTTCAATATCACATAATGGCTTTTCACATTTCAAACATATATTCAAATAATCTTGTTTTCTTTAACAAATCTCACATTTAACTTACTTATTCTTGAATAAAACCTAAATTTTCAAGAATATAAATTACTAATAACTTAGATAAAGACTTATGAACTTAAGGACTACTTCTTTAAAGTAAAATCCTTTAGAAATGAGGACAAGTAGATTGAAGTTTCTACTATTGCATTTGAAAACTTAAAAATAATATTATTTTAAATCAATTTTGTTTGAATCAAGTTTATTATATGAAGTATCCAATTATTATCTAATTATCAATCTCATGAATTTAAACTTTAAATCTTTCTTTTTCTCAATTAAAACTCTATACAAACATTCAACATACAGAAATTAAAATATTAGAATTCTATGATAATAAAAAGAATTAACAAATAGTTTATTTAATGTTATAATCTCATTCTGCTTATTATGAATCTTATCATTCTGGTTATTTTTCTCCTTCTTATTATTATTCTTACTCTTGATTTTATTTATTAGCTTCTTCTTATTATTATTCAAGATCTTTTTATTCTTATTCTTATCTAGCCTTTTCCTCTGCAGCTGCCTTTTCTTCAGCTTATCTTTATTCTTCTTATTTTCTTTTCTCTTCTTCAATTTTCCTTTATTCCTCTTCTTATCTTTCTCTTTCTTATCTATCTCTTTCTTCTTATTCTTATTTCATTCTAGCTTCTTCCTCCTATTTTTGTTTTTATTCTCTTGCTAATCTCTCTTATTCTTCTCTTTGTTTCATGTATGTTTAAAAGGTAGGTCTTTCCTTGATTTGTCTTGGTTACTCTTATTTTTTCTCTTTTTTTGTAGCCCATTTAGCAACATCTCTTTTATTTTCCAAATCATCTAAGAATTATCTAATTCTTTCAGGTAACAATTTAGGTTATGGAAAGAGCTAAGAGTTTTTCTTTGAAAAAATAATATGGCCTATTCATTTATATAACTGTTTACCTTTATGAGATATTTCAAAAGCTCCAGTTGAGGGTTTTTTCTTAGCATTATATGTGCAATAGGAATTTGGAATTTATGCATTAATTTCTAGATTTATTTATGTATTGTATACCTGTCATACAATCCAAATATAATTATGTGTATTTATTTTCATCATGATGAGTACACCAAGCATGAGAAGCACAATCCATACAAACCTCAAAATCAAAAATGATTGCTCCCTCTGGAGGAGGATCACTTTTAGGGACTACAGGCTTTTATTTTTGTTAAGTTTGAGTTTATTATTGTTATTATTGTTATTATTATTCAGTTTATCCCTCATGCATTTCTTCTTATCCTTCTTATCCTACTTAACCTTCTTAACCTTCTTAACCTTCAAATTCTTAATGTTCTTCAGACATTTAATTTTTTATTATTTTATTAATCAAATATCAAATATCTCTTATTTCTTAAATAACACCTTAAACTTTTCAGCAACTTCATTTCTCTTCACTTGAAGTTCATTCACTTTCTCCTCCTCAATCATTATCTTATTTCTCAACTTTTTCTCTTTTTATGCACTCAACGTGGATTATCCAAAAAGCATACTATTGTATAATTTTGCTTTTTTGCTATCCAATAGAACTTTATGAAGAGATAACTGAAGATCATAAATCTAAAGTTTATCCTTTGTCCCCAATCCATATAATCCCTTATTCTCAAGCTAATTATGAACTACTATTATATTTTACTTCCTATTGAATATATTCTTCAGTTACATATGGATTTTCACTTAACATCTATCTTATAAGTCCCTATTTTTAATCTTATAATTCAGGTAGCAATTTAACAAATTCAGCTCTCTTCTATTATATTTTGTTTTCCCATTTCTTAATCTATATTAATAATATATAAATGTATCATTACTTCATCTTATTTTTCTGAACATAATTAGATAAATTGGGAAACTAATTCTGATTCTGTAATTTTATTTCCTTTTTTATTCAACTTTTTCAAGGCATCTTCAAATATCTTGATAAATTATTAGAAATGTACACTTGAAACCTTTTAATTTCTCTATTAATTTAATATAAGGTTGAAATTACCTTTTTATAATAACCTGATTGTCTATAGAATCCTATTCTCTCTTCATCTTTTTAGAACAAATTAAGAGATTCATAGACCTCAAACATTAATTTACGAGACATTCCATATTTCATTTCCTATTCATATTTTAAATATATCTCTTTTAATTAATCAACAGTATTTTGATTTAGTGTTGTAATTGGTTAAAATTCAACTAAGGATTACTATGGTAGGTTTTTAACTTTGAAAATCCATCTATTGAATTTGCTTTTAAGAGGCTCTCTATGTAATATTTTATAGTGTAGATCTGAAAATAATAACAATTTAATTTTACATTAGAACCCTTCATAATAAGCAAACAATCCCAAACATAGAAGAAAGAAGATAGATTTCTTTTTATTATCTACAATTTTCTGGGACCATTTAGGAATAAATGGAACAAAGTAATTTTATAGCCATTTCTTTGGTTTTCTATTTTCACGATCTAAAGTTTTTCTAATTTTCTAGTTAAATGTAATAATACCATATGTGAACTTAATCTTTGATAATAGAAGTAGCGAGGTATGAAATTTTGCATATTTTTAATATAGATATTTAATTCTAAGTTTTGTTTATTATTGATAATAAAAAGAAATAAAAAGCTATGAAAAAAGAAAATATAAGTTAAAATAAATAACAAACAAATAATAAAATAGGTTAAATTATATTTTGATAGTGCTGACTATTGTTACATATTGAAAAGTATAAGATTTGTGATCAAAATAACATTTTAATCATTTTTTATTTCAAAATAGCATCTATATATTAATTGGGTGAATCTCTCTATTTTTTAGCATAACTTTTAAATTAACTTTTTATTTTAAAATATGAATATGACCATAAATCTATAAGAATATTTATTGCCTTGGAATAATATCATGTAACTTTTAAATATAGTATGAGGGAATCATCAACATTTAATATTTCTATTAAATTGATAAACTTTCATACAGAGGAAGAGAGATGGAGCAACATTATATTATTAGTCTAGTTTGCAATGGATGAAATTGCATTTCTCTTTTAATCAAAATTATGATTAAATTCAATTTTGGTTGCTCTTAAATAATTTACAATAGTTGTAGCTGTATTTTATTAATATTCTAGTCCAATCAAAATATGAAATACAATCAAGCACTCAATATTAATAGAGAGGCTTGTCAATAACAATAAACGACTTATGTAGATTCATAATTTAGATTTTCTTATTGAATTCATTCTTTTCATATTGAAATTCTCAAACAATCTCGTCTTCATTTTTCCCATTTGCATTTATCTTTTATGAATTGTAACTTTTTTAGGAGTAAAAGTCGAAAATATTGAAAATTCTTTGAAATCTAAAATTATAAAGATTCTTTTATGTTTCAGTATTTAAATTAGTTATGATTTACTATTTTGAAGATAATTTTCAAATATGTCCAAAGATTAAGTTATTAATTAATATTGATCTTAGATTTTAAGATTCTATATAATTTCTATTAATTTAAATTTATCATTTTATTGTTTTACAAATTAATCTTAATCTTAATAATTATAAATAAAATTTTCTTAATTAATATAAAATTAGAGATTTTTTTAAACTTTAATTTAATTATAGTATCACAACTAAATTAATTACCAAACCATAATCTTGATGATAGAAAAATGTTTTATGAGAATAAAGTTCTTTTGAAGACTTCATATTATTGAAGTAGATTTTTTTTTTTTTAAATATGGAGCATTTATAGATGCTATTTAATGCTCAAGTTTTGAATGAAAATTACAAAAAAAGAGTAGAATTATTAATAAGATTATGAAGATGAAGAATAAAAAGAGAAGTTCAAATTTATAAAAAAATTTATTTTATTAGACAAGTCTTTTTTCTATGATTATTAACATATATACTCTTAAATTAATGAGTTTTACTCATTCCTTGTAAATCAAATCATGACTTGTAAAAAATATTAATTCAATTTATAAAAGAAATATGCATCATATTTCTCGGTTGATCTATTTTAAGTAGATGATACAAATAATAGCAAATCTTAGGCTTGATGGAAGAATTTTATGAACTTTAATATAAGAATTATAAAGATAATTAATTATGTAATTAGAAAAATCAAGCAAGTAGTCGTTTCTATTCTAATTACCATATTAAAAGACATGGGTGTTATGGTTGGCACTTGCTTTAGCTTGTTTTCTATTATTTGGAGATGCATATGCTTTTGATAATCCAATGGCTCTGCAATCAACGATCTAAACAGAGATGAACCTAAACAATGTTTAATTCAATATGCTTTATTCGATTTATTCTGCTCCAAATATCATATTACCTTTTTTTGGAGGAATCCTTATCGATAAGATAGGAGTGAGAGTGAGTATATTGATATTTTCATCTATACTTATTTTGGGTTAGAGTATAGTAGTTATTGGTGGATACTCTTTATCATATGGTACAATGTTGGCTGGTAGATGCATTTTTGGCATTGGCTCTGAAAGTCTGAATGCAGCATAAGCAGCTATAATGTCTTAATGGTTTTAAGGAGGGTAAGTCAGTTTGGCTTTAGGTTTATGTTTATCCATACCAAAATTAGGAAGTGCTTTAAATAGTTTAGTTAGTCCTCAGATTTAAGCTAATCATGGTGAATTAGGATTCACATTTTTAGTTGGACTTTTTATTGTAATATTTTCTTGGGGATGTGGATTGGCTTTAATCTATTTAGATAAGAAAAATGAAGAATTGATGAAAATTTGGAAAGAGCTTAATCCAGAGGAAGGTAATCATGAGATTAAAGATACAAAAGAAGCATAAAATAGTGCTTAAGAAATGAGTTTATAGATTAGAAAAAGCGAATCAACAGAAAGTGATCGATCAGTATCATTATTAGAAGATGAAGATGATGATGATGAAGATGATGAAAAAGAAGAAGCACCAGTTCATGAAGCAAAAGAAGAGATTAAATTATCAGATTTGAAACATTTAGATGGATCATATTGGATATTATCATGCATAATTATGTTGAGTGAAGCACTTTTTGTACCTTTTTTAGATAATGGAAATGCATTTTTTTAAGTCAAATTTGGGTTTAGTTAACAATCAGCAGGTGTATTACTTACTATTCCCTATGTATTTGCAGCATGTGTGACTCCTTTTGTAGGCATTTATAGTGACAAGATTCGTCAACGTTCCTTATTAATAGTTCTTACTACAGTAATCTTTATTATCACTCATTTATGTCTTCTCCTTATCTATTGTGATGTAAATCTATAAAATCTATTTGAAATTAGTCTGCTTGTGGAGTTTCAGCCCTGCCTTTATTATCATTAGGAATTTGTTATTCTTTTTACTCTGCCATATTGATTCCATCCATCCCTTTAGTTGTTAAATCACAAATGATAGGTACTCTTAAACATTGAATTTTAGGAACTGCATTTGGTTTATTAGGAGTAATGTAAAATACAGCTTTAGCCTTATTTCCTCTTATTACTGGAAGTTTATATAATAGTCATTTAATCAATGAAGAAGGTCAAGTTGATCCATTTCAAGGGTAATATTATCAAATCATTATTATTTAGGTATCTTTATTAATCTTATTTCTTTGTTGGTGTTAGTTGTTTTAATTTTGTGATTGCCATAAGTTTATATGTATTTGATAAAAATGGGAGCAAGAAGTTGAGTAGATTAAAGTAAAAGAGTAAATGAAAATGTTTATAGTTTGTTATTTTCATTAATATTTATTATATGAGTAAACGAAATAAAAGCTTGGTAGAGAGAAAGAAATCTAAAAGTAAATTAAAGACAGCGATATCATAAAGGAAAAATTCAGATTCACAAGATAATAATTTCTATTAAGAATTCCAAATATTCTATTCTCAAGCTTAGAGAACTACTTTTACTAAATTTGAATACATGAAAGAATTTTTTAATTTAGGACTCACAGAATTTCCAACAGATGAAGAAATTAATTAAATTTAACTAGAGATTCTTACTACAAGTGGATGGAATTCTAATCTCAAAAAAAATTGGACATTAAATGAAAAGAAAGTGTTAATTTGGCTTATTGGGAAGATTAGTTAAATTAGGAATGAAGACTTAAGGGATTTATCTACTGAACTTTTTGAAGAAGTTTCAAAGATGATATGTCGTAGAGATAAGGAATAATGTAAATAAAAATGGGCTTAAATGTAAAAGGTCGCTTTGTAATAGTAACCTTTTAGACCAGAAGAGGATTAAAAATTATTTGAAATTATTATGAAGTATTAATCTGCTGATTAGGGTTAAAAGTGGAGTCTAATTTCATAGGAATTAAATCAAAATTCTTCTGTTTATCGTTCTAGTAAATAATGTAGAGAAAGATGGTTAAATCATCTTAACCCAAAAATTTCAAAGTATCATATAATTTGTATTAAATTTAGAGAACCTTGGACAGATGATGAAGATATAAAATTATTGTAGACAGTTAAAGAAATTGGTAGAAGATGGTCTGAAATTTCAAAAATTATGGATGGTAGAAGAAGTGAAAATAATCTAAAAAATCGATTTAATAGTTTGATAAAAAGAGATAAAGATTTACCTTATCTGTAATATATATTGAATAATATATTTATAGATAAACTTATAATGGATCAGCTAATAACTTGGATGATTTATTATCAGGTTGTAATGGACCTGAAATAACAGATTTATAAAAACAAGTTATTGATGCTGTTTTGGCTAAATTAAAGTGGAGAAGTGCTGAAACTTAAAATAAAAGCAATCATAAAAAATCTATAGAAATTTAAGAATAACAACAATAACCAAAACCAGCATTTAAATAACGAACTTAAATTACTGTTTAATATACTATAGGAAATATTGAATAAGAATAAAATATTCAAGATCTAATACCTTGTTTAGTAAATGTAAATAAAGATATTATTTACTTTTGCACACATGAAATTCTAGGATAATTTTAAGAAATTAATCAATAAAAATAACATTAATTTAAAGATCAATTTGATAAAATTAAAAGTGAATTATAAATATTTGATTCTGGATTCCACAATTTCAAATCAACTTTAAGTATGATAGAAGAAATTGAAGAATCTTAAAGAAGTCACTTAAATTTTTATACCAATGATCTAGATGGTTTTTTAAATCTCGAAACACCTGATACATTTTCCAAACCTGTTTTTGTTAATCCAATAGAAATTATTACTCATTCCGCCATGAAATACTTTCACCGATGGAAGACTGATAGTTAACTAAATGATAGACGTAGAAATAGTGTAACCATACCAAGATCACTCCCGAATTTGATATAAAATTACACATGATTAGACTCCAGTATTTAATTACTTTCAATTCTATCTATTTAAAAGATACAAACTATAGATTATAGATCACTAATTATCTCTATCATTACAAAAACCTAAAAATTTTCTTATTAAAAAAATGGTGATCTTCAGTTTATATTCTTAGCTAATCTATAAAGAAGAGCAAGGATATGAATTAAAGTTAGATTTTTTTAAATTTCCTTTTTACAGATTATCTTCAATAAATCAAAAAACTAATAGCTACTATTTTAATTACAGAATGAAATTAATTTTTGCAATACTTTACCATTTTATTGATGTTAATGAAATTTATATTAACAAAGTCTTTTTAAAATTATCACTTAATTTGAATATTTTTTGCCAATTACCATACTTATAAAATAACAAAATTTATTTTTGAAATAAAAATCATAAAGATAATTAATTTTCGAATAAAATTAGTGTTAATATCAAGATATCAATCAATTTGTATTTATTACGGTGTAATCAGGTGATATTAAAAAAATTTGAATTTAATACACAATTCTAATCGTTATAAAAAAAACAGAATTTATACATATGAAAATAATTTTGAACTACCCTTTGTTGTATTTTTAGTTCAAAATTTACATAAGAACAAAAATTTATTCATATATATTTTAAAATATCTGAATAAAATGGAATAAAAAGAACCTTTATTGCCAGATTATTAAAACAGACTTAAAAATAAATTCAAATTTTTTTATAAAAATGTTAGATAACTAACTTTTATATAAATAATTTTAAGAAAATGAGCTATGAAATAAATTGTTATTAATATGACAACTGCTTTAAAATAAAATTTATGTTTCATAATATATCCAGAAATATACATTTAAGCTTAATTCTTATTACAGTTTTGAATAGCTCTATTAATATTGAAATATAAAAATAACCATTTATATATTCGTTAAGGCTCATTAGATTTCTATAATCATGACTTTCTTATGATGATCTACATGTTTTGAATATGAATATTAGAATTAACTTACCTGTGAAATCAATAATTACTTTTGAGCAATTATTTGATCACTTACGCATTTTTTATTCGCATTAATTATGTATTTTTATAGAAGTTAAAAACGAAATTCAATATATAAATTTCTAATAATTTGAACGTTCAAAAAATGTCTCTTCATTCATCATTTGGCTATGATAGTCTTCGATCAGTTATTTTTGCAAGAGCTATAAAGGAATGCGAAAGTAAGAATTAATTTGATTGCTTTAGAAATTCAAAATGAGCATTATTTATCAGAAAATGGTTCTGATATTAAGAGTAGTATCTCTTCTGATTCAGATAAACATATGTTTGATAGGTATTTCTATAAATATAAACATTAGAGAATACAGTTTGGAATCTGCTGAATCCTAAATGACATTCAATAACTAGTAATCTACTCTCTCTTAATTTAATACTCAACAATGATTAAAAATTATATTTAGTATAGTATATACATTATAAAATACATTTCTAAAGGTTATCAAATAATGTTTTTAGTGCTGATAAACTTTTTTATGTTCAAAATTTCAATTTCTTTTTTCAATCATTATTCTATTCGATGATTCCAATTACAGAATTATTATCAGTTGCAAATTCTATATATATTATATATATAAATAATAGAATTCTGAATTTTATTTTTTTGATAAACATTTTTTCAATTTAATTTAATTAAATCTTGGTATGAATTAATTTTTTAAGATTGCTAATAGAAATTATTTAATAGAATAGAATATATTTCTAAATTTTCTACTATTAATCATTATCCATTTACAATCATTGATCTCTAATTGTAAAGAGATTATAAACATAATTATTTTTGAATTATATCTAACAGGAATTCTTTTTTATTTGTTAATTATATAAAATATAAATGATTTAGTACTTTATTTATTAAAAATTTATTGAACATTTCAAAATATAATTATTGATTAAAAAAAGAATAAATGATCTAAACCTTTTATTAATTATTATAATACAGAAATCTGCAATCTTATATTATTTGATTGAAATGGAAAACGACTAAAACTTATTCTTATATTCTTCTGAAAAACTTTCAGATTCTTCACTACCAATTCTTAACTTTCTGTAGAAAAACGATATCAAAAATTTTCAATTGTCAAAAGATGTATCTAAAGTACAAAATACTCTAAAATAATATAAGGAACTCTAGATAGATGTCATAGGGACTAAAATAGTTGACAATAAATTCACTCTTTATGAAATAAAATTATAAAGAGGGAATGTTTATTGGGTATTTTAGACTAGATATAGTCTATTGAAAGCTTTAGATGACAGGCTTTCAAAAAACTTTAAATTGAAAGTACAAAAATTTCCTGAATCAAAAGTGTTTGGTAATCTTGAATAAGAATTTATTTCAAGAAGAGCTAAACAACTTAATATTTATTTAAAAGTAGTTATTATAATAATTTTTAGTCATTGATAAAGTATTGCAATCAAGAAAAAACAATTTAAAATTTTTTAAAGGAATCATAAGAAGCTGCAATAGTTATTTATGATCCAGATGAAATTGATTATTTTAGATTAGATGCATGAAATACATTTAATTAAAAAAATTGATATATATAATATCAAAACAATTTCTTTAAGTTTTTAAATTCTTATTGCAAAATTGAAGTAGAACTATGATCACTTTTTGTATTAGTTGTATTATTTGAATATCTATGACTAGCATGAGAACTTGTTTTTCTATGACAAGATGGTGTTGATAATCCATTTAATTCAGTTTATAATTTAATTACTATTTTAATTGATTAAATTAGTTCACCATCTTGATCTTTAGTTTGATTTAATTATTTCATTTTTTAATATAGAGCTTATGGATGAACATTTTTATTTTTAATAATCATTAAAGTATCTTTTTCTAATTTTTATAAACCTTTTTGTATAATTTAAAAATATTAAGTAATTATTTATTCTGAATTTTCATTATTAGTATTATTTTGATTAACATTATTAATAATTGATATATTATTATTATTAGTTAATTATTTATTAGGTACTCCAGTAGCACTTCTTTTGTGTCGAGATGGTTCAGTAATTTCTTTCTATATATCTTTTTGAAATTAATTTTCTTTAATTTCTTGAGTGTATTTTTTATCATCTAAATAATATGGTTTATCTTTTTATGGTTAAAATTGAGGTGGATTTTATGTTTACTTTTTATTATCAGTATTTTGAAAATTAATGTGAAATTAGGATGCAAGTGGAGTTGAATAAGGACTAGCATTAGGAGTATTATTATTGGGTTTTAATATATCTTTATTAACTAATTAAGTTTATAATTGAAGTTCTTATTATTATTATTGATATTAGATTAAGGTTTTTTATATCTAAGATTAAAATTAAGATCCGTAAGGTTATTAATTGAGTTGAACTTTAGAACGATCTAATAATTTCAAATATAAAAATACTTTCTTCAGGGATTACAGCAACTGTTGCTGATTATTTATGAATATGACCAATTGTTGTATTATTTTGTTTAGGTTTTTCATTCATCAATTTCATAGCATTATTAGTTTAAGTTAATAATTCTGACATTTTTTATTGAGCTGTGTTTTGAGCTTTATTTGGAATATCAAAATTAGAATATCTTCTGCAATGTTATGAATCATTTTATAATTAACTCTATATGTAAATGAGTAAATACCTCATTTAGAATCTCTTTGTCCATTTCACTTGAATCTGTTATGAGATTCAATTCATTATTTTCCATTAAGAGATTATTGATATCATAAGTATGTGTGACTCTACGACATAATGGACATTGAATTCTAAACTTATTCTGTATTTAACTAAAATATAAATTCAAATTTTCTCTTACCTTGTATTTTCCTAAATAGATATATTTTATCCACATTTGAAACAAAGTGTATGAGAACAAATTAAGGAGATAGGTTTCATAGCTTACATTTTACATAATTAGCAATGAGAGATCGATGTCTTTTAATACATATTTAATTAACTGATTATTTATATAATTAAAATCTACTCAGTTACCATAGATATTTACTAATTTATCAACACTGCAGCTATAAATGTTCTTACTTAATTATCCAAATCTAAAATCAATAAAATTATTATATACTTAATCCCAGTGACTACATCTCTATGACTTTCAATTTTACAAAATTCTTATTTTTTCTTAACATCAAAAAAGTGAATTGTCTTGTTACTACCAATAGCTAAATATTAACCTGATGGATCATATTATAAACCACCTAAAACTTAAAATCATAAGTTACCTATCTTTTGGCCTTGATATATTTTTGAGAATTAACCAGGACGTCTTAAATCCCATTCATAAACTTCACTACTACTACTTGATGCTAAATTAGCTCCATTTTCAGAAAATGTTACATTTGTAACAGCTCCCTATTATTATATAATTATTAATACATCTTATCCTTCCAATTAAGCTAACAATTGATTTTTTACAATACTCCAAATCTTAATTTAAGAATCTGTCTACCCAATAGCCAATAATAATCCATCAGGATGAACAGATACTGAAGTAAATTAACATTGTCCCTCAAAATCAGTTACTCTACTCAATTGCTATCCATTTTTTAAATTATAATATGTCAATATTCCATTATTGGTTACTATTATAGCAATATATCCTAAAGGATGAATTGTAACTCCTGTAACATTTTAACCAATATTAATTGTCTGAATAATCTAACCTTCTTGAGTTTGAGAATTAAATTAGTATATTTTGAGATTTCCATCTTATGAAGAAGAAATAAATCTAAGATGCTCATCATAAGTAAAGAAATTAACTGAAGTAATATTCTAAGTGTGTTCTTAAGCTTAATAAACTAATTTTTCATGAGAATACAATAAGACTTATCCTGCCAATCCACCTACTAACACATAATTACCTTGTGTATCCAAAGATGTTCCTCCTTAAGTTTATTCATATTATTGTTTTACATCATAATTTGAAAGAATCTATGATAATAAAAATCTATTACTTCAGAGCCTGGGAATTAATCAAAATATGACTATTACTTTCTTTATATCTTTCTTTAATTTGTTAATTTAATTGCATTTTCTTCTATTTCAGTAATATAATTTGATGGTAATTTCTCAGGAGCATTATTTGCTTCTACTTCAATTTTATGATTTAATTTGTGCTATAATTATGCCAATTCTATTCTAGCTTAATCTCTTTCTTTAATTAATTTAGCAATCACACGACAAGCTGCATCATGTTAATATAATGCATGTGTCAATTCATGTCTAACTTATTCTAAATGTTATTTTAATTAAAATTATTCCAATAATAATGCATCCCATTCATTTTATAGTAATGACAATAATGATGGTATTGATGTTGCTGTAACTGGTCTTGGTTTCTAAACTCTAGACACTTTCACCTATTATCATTATATATATCATACTTCTATTAGATCTTCAATATTCAATGGTCTTCCTGTTATTGGACATGTTCCTGTGCTCTCTATGTGTTTTTCAATTAATCTTTTTTCATAAATGTGTCCACTCACTTTAGATATTACTGGAGTTTCTATCAACTCTCCAGATAGAGCACAAGTTTACCAGGATTACATATTATGATATTTATTTATTTGAATATTTAATTAAATTATGTTCAAGAAACTAGAGGATCTTTCTAAACCAACATTGCTTTCCAAAACTGGAGTTAAGGAATTAAAACAATCATTCAATGATTATTATCCTTTTTTCAAAGAAATAGAGGATGAAGTTTTTCCTAAAAAAGCCAATATCTAATCATTTAAATTAAGAAGTGAATATAAAGTCGAAATTGTCTAAGTTGATAAAGATTATATTTGTTTTACAAAAGAGGATTTAGTCATTCCTCATTTGAAATTAGTCCACAAATTCCCTGATCTATTAATCAAATAATAAGTAGATTTAGGAGCAATTAAACATATTTTAAGTGGTTCTGATGTATTAGCTCCAGGATTGATTTCTTAAGGAGGTTAACTTAATACTGTAAGTTATTTGATTTATTTTTAAGGCATAAAAAGGATAGGTTGTTGCCATATATGGAGAAGGCAAAGAAAATGCTATGGGAATAGGAATAATGAATGCAAATTCTGATGAAATTAAAAAAGACCCAAAAGGTCATGCAATTTAATTATTACATCATCTTGGTGATGCCTTGTGGTAATTAAGTTTCAAATGAGCTGATTATTTATTTATCTTTATATTGTACATAAAATATATCATTATTATTTTGTAATTTCAGTCTTAAGGTTATCAAAGGAATCGACTGGAACATATTGAGCAAGGGTATAATACTTACCTTTACCATCATCTTCCTCCTTCTTCTTTCTTTATAATCTTACTCTTATTCTTCTAGGTAAATTACGAATTCCTCTTGCCCAAACTGCCTCATTTAATTATGGATCTATTCTAACATCCTCAGTTAACATGTTTTTTTAAGCTTACTAGTGCATGATTTAATACCAAATCTGACAATATGACTAACTGCTCTAGGTGCCTTTCTTTTAAATGTTTCTTTATGAACTGCCTTATGGAGATTAATTGTATAATCTCTACTAACTTCCCCTAATGTATTAGGCTTTCCTTTTTCCTTCTTTCCCATTAATTAAAAATCTTTAAAAAATATATTAAAAGTTATTTGATCACACTACTAACTAATGCTTTGTGCATTTTGTCTTAAAATTTCAAGTATTAAAGAAACTGCGAATGGTTATAGTACTACTCTTCAATTACATTGACTTTGATGCTAGTTTTATTAATTTTTTCCATCATATAATTGTTTTATGATTTATTATAACATTTATCAATTTCATTATTATTAAACTTAAGTATTTTTGGATGAATTTATATTCACTTTTTTATAGAAAGACTATAAATATTAATTGTTTTTTTTTCAATTATCAAATAGAATTTATTTGAATACTAAAATATCCTTTTTATGGTATTACATGTCCTTATTGATGAAACATTCATTAAAAAACTTATTTTAGACACAGCTAAAAGTTGAAGAATCTGTTACTTGAATTTTTTTTGGATCATTGAAATTTTCCAAATAATTCTCTCTTTTTTATAAGATGATGTGTTATTTACTTTTAAATTATTTTCAATTAATGTCATTTTGCTATTGAGAGTAATAGTCTTCATAATAATTTATATAAAAATGTTACTTCTATATGTTTAACCAATATATTTAAAATACAATATCATAAGTAAAATAAAAAAATTACATGTGCTTCAAGTATTTCAAAAGAAAATAGTTTTTCTATTTGATGTATAAGAATTCAAATAAATAAAATTTGAATAATAAATCTTTCACTTATTTCATGGAACAAATTACAATATATTTATTGTTTTTAAAGTGTTTTTTATTTGCATAGGTTAGTATTATGAAAAATAAGAGTAGATTTAAAAAAAGGAATGAATTTAATGTAATTGATTTGTGAATAATAAAAGATATTAATTTATGGTTTACAAAATCAGAAATAAGTCATTTTTCTGGACAAGAGCAGGTTGGAAGAATAACTGGCATCCTAAAAATTTCAATGCTCCAAGACCATCAAGCTCAGAATTTACTATTGGTATTAGATGTCGTTACGATCATAATTCATTTTTGAGAGGTTTGAAATGAAATGTCTATTGAATAGCTTATCATTCATATAGAAAGATCTCCAGACATTGCAAATAATATTTCTTTGGCAATAAAGAGTTGGAAGAATTATTTTAGATGGGTTTGAGAACATTTTTCATAGTACCTCACATAGCTGAATGTCAAGTCACTTAAATTAAACATGGTGGTGAAAGAAGAATGGTAGATTAGATTGATAGAGATTTTGAATTAGTATCCTACAATTCACATCCTTATCAATTATTCACCTACACTATATGGAATTAATATTTGGCAAATCAATAAGAAGCTTATGAATAAAGAAAGAATGGTGGTAAAGCTATTGAAGATTAAGTTATCGATCACATCAGGTATAAAAAATGAATTAAAATTTAAGTGAATTAGTGAAGGATGAGAAAGCTAAATTAGGGGCAGGAAAATAATTGAGTATTGAAAGAACAGCAGAAATTGTTATGAATGTTATGAGATAATTGAGAGCTGCTCAATAAAGACCAAATCTTAACAATAGGTATTTCAAATTAATATAGTATAAGACGTGCAGATGGTGAATTTGATGATTTCTTAGAATAGAGAAGACCATTTACAGCTCCAAACAATTAATCAGCTACTCATTGAGCTACAATACATTCAAATAAAATATAATAGCTATTATTAAATTAAAGTATTATTCTCTATGAATCCATTAAGAAATCAACTAAATTCTATATTTTAACAATCTTCTATAATTCTATCCTAAATTAATATAGCATAAAATTCTGAAATTTATTATATAATATTTTTAAAAGACATCCAATATTTTATTATTGTTATTAGTTATATATAATTAATATTATTTATGTTTGATTTCTCTTTATCATATATATTTTAAAGATTATTTCTATATAAATATTGAAATAATTCCAAATAAATACTATTAATATTTATTGTCTTCAATATATATAATTATTTAATAATCCAATATTATTAGGAAGTTCTTAATTAAATATAATTTTGGTTAATACCCTTTTATTTTTATTGATAATATCAATAAATTACTTTTGTTTAAATAGATATATATATTTAGATTCAATTTATATATTCTGATAATCCCATATCAGCAGCTTCCTATAATGCTTTGCTTAACATATCCTAAACAAAAGTTTAATCAGATTTTAATGAGAGCGACTTATGATAATAATGAATTGCTTTGCTTAAACTATTTGGTAATTCACTTAAATGATAAGAGAATGCTAAACCAAAGAATACCTATGGAGAGACAGAATTTAACTATATATAGTAAAATGTTATTACTTAAATACATTTTTCAAATATCTAAATGGCATTCTTGTAATCTTTC